CAGCAGGAACCTTCAAACAACCCAACACTAGGTAACGGAGCCATCGCTGCTGATTCTTTGGATGAACAAGAGGCTGCCTTTGAATCTGTTTTTGTCGAAACTAGTAAGGTTCCAGTTACACCCGATTCCACTGGGAAAAGTGGAGATAAACAAGATCTTTGATATTTTTCATGTTTGCCTGCAGTTGAACAACATTTTAGAATACTTTTTAAAATTATTTCTTACAAAGAAATTAATATACAGTCTAATGAAAACATTTGTTGCGGGCTACTCCAGGTGTTTTGCTGCTAGAAATGATTAAAGTTATACACTAGTATGTTGGTCTAGTGACCTGGTTACATTTTACAAGTAATTGGACCATGAGGACACTTGTTCACATAGACTTAAAGATTATGGAGATTGCTAATGTTTTCGTCTTATTTAAATTCCTAGGTTTATTGGAAGAGTAAGACTGATGAACTGTAAAGTGCACAGTTTACTGCAGGAGGGATCATTAATGCTTTTTAAAGTTTTAGGTTAACTGACTTGGAATTCCTCAGAAATTGGGAAATAATATATAAGATGAGAACAGGCAAAAAGGCCAATTTTTTTTACAACTTTAAGTAAACTGAATAATAAACACTTTTTCTGGTCTGTATAATGTACAGTGTTGGGTTTACTTTAGGCAGTAATATGTTTTCACCTACAAACAACTGATACTATTACCTTTTATTTTACTTTTAAAAAGTGAAAGGTCACTAGAAGTATGATAAGGGAGTTGGTTCTAGAGTAGTTAGCCCCAATCATTCTCCCTACTAGTAAAAAGTTTGACATTTATCTTTCTTATAAACATTTCCATTTCTTCTGAGGATCATAGAACTTTACCCCCTTATGGTATGATTATTTTTCATCCCAGATAAGTTAAAATATATAAAAGATTTACTTTCATTTTTCTCCAGCTAGGGCTCAAGTCCTATGAGTTTGCACTTAATGATACAATCAGTTCAAGCAGTAATGATTTTTATGTTTCCATAGATTCTCTGCTTCTACCTAGTGTAAATGCTTTTCAAAATTCCATATTCAGAATGTTCTTTAAACACTGAAAATGTGTCATGTTGGATATATATTTGATTTAGGTTTGATTTTTACTACTGATACTATAAATAAAATGCTCAATTGCCAGTTAGAATATGATAATGCTATTTGATTTGGGTTTTTTTGTTTGATAATTATTTTTAATGCAGCTAATTTTCAATACACTGAATATTTCCCCACAAAACTGAAAATTTTATATACTTGCTATGATCATACTACAGATACTGTCAGGGATACAGGTGTACAAGAATGCATTTACAGATACGGTTGGAAACTTTGAATTAATTGATAAAGAGTGATTTAGTATTTTTGTCTTTCTTCTTATAGACTTTATGTTCACCAAATGAGTAATTCTAGAACAGTTCAGACTAAAACATACAGGAACCAAATATATATCCACCATAGAAGAATTTTGCTAGAGACTTCTCAGGAAGCACTTTCTTGAAATGACAGTGTAATAATTAAAATACAATTTAAAATAGAAACCTTGGCCCTATGTTAAAAAACTAAATACTTGTAAAATTTATTTATTGTAGGCCTATTTTTCTGACACCCAGGTGTTAGCCTTCAAGTTGAGGAGATTGTTTCTTGTATATTATTTTCCGTTTGTGTTCTACAATTAAAAGTTCAGCTTTGATTTGTGAGAGAATAATTTATTGTAGTTTTATTCTTGAAATAAATTTTTGAATAGATAGATTATTAAATTTGATGTTAAAACATCTAAATTGAATGCTAGAAGTAAAGCATACGTGAAATGTTGAGTCAACTCTGGTAAGGTTAGAAAAGGTTAAGTCAGTAGGATAGAATTTATTTCTATTAAAGCTGTATAGGGAGAAGAATAAAGCACAGAAAAAATGAGTTTAACTTTTAAGGTGTTTATCGTTGAGTAAGTATGCTAAATTGCAAAATGTATTATCTGGCAACTATTTGTGTCTGAAAATTCCTTTTCTGTTAAAATTATAGAAAAGAGATTTAGGACTGCAATAAGCAGTGAAATGTTTAATTTCTTTTATCATGACAATTTTAGAATAACTTTTTTTAGATGAGATTAAATGTTATGTTCAAGGCTCCAATATTAATTTTAGAAACTTATTTAAGGAGTGCTACTTTACAGAAATAACTAACTGAAATAAAAACATTTTTAGTTAAATAACAAGGCATAAGTTGCAGAAAGAAAGCAAGTTTAAGTTTTCTGATTGTATTTTATTCAGAAAGGAAAAGTTAAGAAGACTAAATTTTCATGTTTTAACATTTTATTTAGGTACTTGATTTAGTCTGTCAGTGTGTCATAATTATATACTTATTTGAATACCACTATCAGAACAGAAATTAAATGCACTTCAGATTCTATTTTTAATAGATTGTGAAGTTTCTTTTATTGATTAAATAAAAATATATTAAACTTCATTGGCTTTTTAAAAATCAGTTGTTAACTCATTTGCAGGATCAGAATGAATGTAAAAAATTAGGTTGTTTCTTCATATTTTTGTGTATATTCCAACTACAAACCATGTGCTACTTCTTTGCAATTTAAAGAAAAATGTTAGCTTTGAATTTATATGATAATTATCTACAGGTGAGTTAAAATAAAAGTAACACTCCAGGCCAGCCTTTTAACATATTGGTTAAGGGAGCCAGATTCCACATGGCCAACTGCAGTTTGAATCTAAACCCCAGTAGCTTGAAAAATGCTTGGGGCATGTGTGCCTGTATGTCTAAAGTCTCAACAGGATAGAGAAGAGAAGGAGAGGGCTTGCATTGTGACCATACACCTTTAGGGGTGCTTTTCCCTCTCTGGTGAATACATATACCCTCTTTAAATTTTTTTTTAAGAGAAATAACATCTAGATTATAGGAGACCTAGATTCTAGTCTGGACATTACTACTTACTATAAAACTTAAGTTCCATTATTTATTTTTCACTTTCCTCATTGATAACATTGAGGATGGCTGCCTCACGTAAGTGTACTTCTCTAAAAATACATAATACAATCAAAAGTGAGATGTGGTCCAGTTTCTGTGGCATAGTTAGTATATAACCCCACTGCAGTACTGGAAGCCATATGCCGACTGTGATTTGAATCCCAGACAGTTGGCCTGAAGCACAACAGGTACATGTGTGCATGCCCAGTCCTGGCAAGCAGAAAGACTAGAGGAAGGGGCATGGCATGACTGTGCCCTGTTGGAGGGTACTTCTCTCTCTCTCTCACCTGCATGTATACTCACGATAACATAAATAAAGAAAAAAGTAATAATCGCAATTAAGTTTTGAAAATTTTTTCATGTACACTTAAACGTCTTAAGGACTGTAAAAATGTCAAGAGTATTTTTATTAGTCTAGAATTTCTGATTCACACATATTTAATTAAAAATTAGAATTTGTGGGGCCAGCAGGTGGCATAATGGTTATGTCACTGGTCTCCCACATGGCTTACCATAGTTCAAATCCTGGACCTGGTGGCTTGAAAATCACGTCGGGCATGTGTGTGTGTGCATGCTCAAGGTCCCAGGAGGAGAATGGAGCAGAAGGAATTACTGTGTGACCATCTTCCCTGGGGGGTGATTTCTCAATTTCCCTCTCACTGTCTCTGTCTCTCTCTCTGGCAAGTACACACACATCATAACGTAAACCTCTAAAAAAATCTTTTTAATTTAAAAATTAAAATTAGTGGGGCCAGCCGGTGGCATGGTGTTTAAGGCGCTACACACTCCCACATGGCCAACCATGGTTTGAGTACTGAACCTGGTGGCTTGCTTTCTCACTTTCCCTCTCTTTCTCTTTCTCTGGTCAAATTAAAATAAATGAATAAATAAAATTAAATACTTTTTAAAAAGTTAAAATTAGTTCACTTGTACTTATAGCTTTGCCCAAAATATAATTTTAATTATTTTACTGGTTACTAGAATAACTTAACTTAGGAAAACACAGTGGAATATTTGTTCAACACGGAAATTTTGTATTATCTGTATTGCCTTGAAATATTCTTTCATATTGTATAGTTTTTTATTTAACTTATGAATGAGTTGTTTCTTTTCATGTCAGCTACCTCATGAATCCTGTGGAATATTTCCTATATTCTGACCTATGTATGGACTTTCCTATTTCAAGAGATAAATACTAAGTGATATAACTGAATCTTAAAAATGTTTCCACGGGCGGCCAGCAGGTGGAGCAGTGGTTAAAGGCGCTGGACTCCCATATGGCCAATCACGGTTCTAGTCCTGGACCTGGCAATTTGCTTTCTCACTTGCCGTCTCTCTCTCTCTCTCTCTTTCTCTCTCTCTCTCTCTCACTCTGTTTCTCTCTGGCCAGAATGAAATAAATAAAGTTGTATAAAATAATTTTTAAAAATGTTTCTGCTCATATAAAATATGTATTTTGTTTTATAAGGACCTCAAATGCTTAAGAGTTGAGCCAATCATTGATCATTCTCTTCATTAAGGACATCAATGTCATTGGTCCAGAAAGGCTATACATACGTTCTGTTTTTACCTTACTGATTTTTACCCATCTCCTGCCGTAGTTCCATACTGCTCCTTCTCTGCTGTGTTTAATGTTTCCCCTTCCAGGCCATCATCCTTATTTTTATATATTTCCTGGAAAAACCATGTAATAATATTTATTTGTATAAGTTTTGAAGTTTTATATAAATTAAACTGTGGTATAAATTATATTCTAACGTTCATAAAGTAATTAGGTTTTCAAAACCTGTCCATGTTACTTTTAACATACTTCTAACGGGTACATATTATTCTATTGTACTCACATACCTCAGCTTTTTTTTCTTATAGTTATAAATTTCTTAGGTTATACCTAGCTATTCACACTTCTACAAATTGATATACTGGTACTTCAAAAAGTTCATGAAAGAAGAGAATTAGAGAAAGAAGAAATAAATGATCAAATGGCTTAAAGAGGCCAGGGCTGGAAATGCAGAGTAAATCTGTGTTTGACTCTGAGTTGAAGAGATTTAAGGAACTTTGGGAGAATTTAAAAGGAGAAATAGAAAGGGACAGGACAAATGAGATCAGCAGATAGCATAATGGTTACATAGTCGACCATGGTTTGAGTCCAGGATCCAGCAGCTTAAAACTCGCGTCAATGCATGCTGCATGCCCAAGATTCTGAGAGAAGAATGGAGGAGAAGGGATTGCAGCATGTCCATCCCCCTAGGAGGTGATGTCTCACAGTCTCTCTGTCTTGAACATGCCCTATATAGCAAATACCTCTCTCTTAAAGAAAGGGACATGACTCAACATCAGGGATTGCTGCATTTGGAAATGAGGTGAGATTAGAGAAACAAAAGGAGGAGAAAAGAAGACATCTGAAGATGAAAAGGAACAGTTAAAGTTAAAACAATCTCTGGAATATAATTTGGATGAAGAAATAAAAATGGTGAATTAGAGAAAGAGATAACTGGATTTAAGAAACTCTTAGAAATGAAGAACAAAGTTAATATGAAATTGGAGAAATTCGTTTCCAAGAGATTGAAAAGCCAGTCAATTTGAAATGCATATTCAAGTTAATATGCTAAAATATAAGATTGATGATTTTACAGCAAAACTGGAAACTATACCTTCAAAACATACATCTAGATTCAAAGAATCAAATTCTTTAGCAGGAATTGTCATCTATGACAGGAATACAGAAGAAATGTGTAAAAACTAGAGAAGAATAAGTTGCAATAAGTAGTGAACCTCAAAAGTCATATGGAAATAACTATGGTAGAATATTTTCAAGTAGAACAGTATAAATGGAAGATTGAAGGAAGAGCAAGTCAAGATATAGAAAAAAAGTTAAAAGAAGTTGAACCTGGACCAGCAGTTAGCGTAATGGCTATGTCGCTGGACTCCCATGTAGTCGACCACGATTCAAGTCCTGGACCTGCTGGCTTAAACTCACGCTGGGTACATGTGCATGCATGCCCACGATCCCAAGAAGAGAATGGAGGAGAAGGGGTTGCGGCATGGCCATCCCCCCTGGGGAGTGATTTCTTGCTTCCTATCTCTCTGTCTCTCTCTCTGTCTTTCTGGCAAGCACGTGTACCCTATAGCAAAAACCTCTCCATAAAAAAAAAATAAAAAGTTTAATCTACTTTTACAGGCATAAGCAGCAGCTCACGAAAACTTAGAGCAGTTAAGAGAGAGTAATTATGCTTCAATAAGAAGTCAGATGGAGGGGCTGGCAGGTGGCATGGTGGTTAAGGGTGCTGGATGGCTGACCACGTTTTAGTCCTGGACCCAGTGGCTTGCTTTCTCACTTTCTCTCTAGTCAAATTAAAATAATAACGATAAATAAAGTTAAATTTTAAAAATTTAAAAACTCCCAGTTAAAAAAAAATAAGTCAAATGGAACTTAGAATTAGAAAGATGAAATTTGAACTCTTCAAAAAAAGAGCTTCTCAAGTGTAATAAAACAGAATTGGAAAATCTAGAAGAATCACATATAAGATCATTATCAGATAAACTGAACAAGACTAAGAAGAAGTTAGCAGAAGTCAGTGCCAAACTTCTTGTGGAAAAAGAGCAGAATAGTTAGATACTCATCAGTCTTACTATAGGACCAGTCCTAGAGTCACTTCATGTTGGAAATCTTAAAAATAGTTGAGTGTACAACAGAAATCTTAGTTCAAGAGAAACTCAGTGATTCTGAGACAGGAAGTAGACCCAGTGAGTAGGTAAATAGGGCAGCAAACCCCAAGGAAGAGCCTATCAGGAAATGCAACCGAAACCTCTTTGAAGATTCCTTCCTTCTACCCTTCCCACTGGCTCTTGGCACCAGAAGGGTTGTCTTTGTTCTCCTGTCCCAGATATACACACAGAAATTGACCACTGGGATGAAACACTAAGTCAGCATTCATGACAGTACATCCAGATATGGATCCTAATTCCTTCAAAGACCACCCTGGGCATGTATGTTGAGGTAATTAAAATCCTCACCTGAGAGATGCACAAGTGCCGGAAAAAGCCCCAGAAACCAAAGAAGCCAGATACTGTGACAGACCTCTCCCTGCTAAATATTCATCACCAACCCCCAGTATAAAAGTAACACCTATCATGCCCAAAACAATTGTCCTCCTCTGGCAGCTGCCCACCCACATGTCTTAGGCATGGAATATATTTCCTTCCTATTAGAAATTTTTAATTTTCTATTAAAATTTTTCTTTAAAAAAAGATAAAAGGGAGGGAAAAAAGAAAATAGAGTTAAAGTATGAATTTTTCTTTTTTTACTTATTTTTTTGCTAAGGGATATGTGTGATCACTAGAGAGAGGAGAAAGCTACCCCTGCTGCCCCTTCCTCCCAGGAATGGTCACACCACAATCCCTTTTGGCCCATCTCTCCCTTTCAGGAGTATTGGGCACACATGCACACACACCCAGTGTGTCTTAAGCAGCCAGGTCTGAAA